CTTCTCTCTCTCTCTTCTCTCTCTCTCTCTCTCTCTCTCTTTCTCTCTCTCTCTCTCTCTCTCTCTCACACACACACACACACACACACATGCACACACACACACATATATACATTTATCGGAAAGAGAAAAATTGTTGATATACTTATACGGTGATGGAAAACTGAATTGATTTGTTTTTTCCTAATCTAAAAGATTGTTGGGCCCGCCATTAAAATAGGAGGCCTCCATACAGTTTTACCTCTGTATGGCTACGACCCCAAAGGTTTTTTTCACCTTGGCTTCCCCCCAACCCCTTTTGTCTCGTCCCTGTGGGCTATTCGTCTCCATTCATCTCAAGGTTCTCTGACCAGCAGTTTTAGTTATGGGGCGAACGTCGAAGATCTCGTCTTTAAAAAGAGAAAGCGAAGTTGTGATATTGGCCCGCCACTAAAATAAGAGGCCTCCATTTAGATTTACCTCTACATGGCTACAACCCCAAGGATCTCAGATTCTCAGGCTCTTTTGACCTTGGTTCTGCCCCATGCCCTCTGACGGTTCCTTATGGGCCGGTCATTCCTATTTATCTAAAAAGACTCAGTTCTGAAGTGTCGGTTATGGGTCAGATTTCGAGGATGCCTCTTTTTGAAAAACAAAACTAGATCGTCCTCTTGGCCCGCCCTCACAAAAGTAGGACGCTCGAATATGGGATTATTCCCTGCCCTTCTGTACTTGGTCTGCTACCTGCTTTGCATTAATGAATCAGTCCTCCTAGGGCGGTCCGATTAGGCTAGTTTTGGAATGTTTCTCTTCGCCACCCTTTTTGTCACCCACGCACTATTTAACTATTGAAGATCGAATCGTCAAACCCTTTTTGGATCGACGCACTTCCCTGGGTTGTGCGGCCTAATCATCATTTTCCAGTAACGTGCGCAACGGCGCATACTGTCGCCCTCTGCAATTGAAAGGGTCTCCTTGCTCTTCTGGTCTTCTCTCGGCCATTCTCTCTCTCTCTCTCTCTCTCTCTCTCTCTCTCTCTCTCTCTCTCTCTCTTCGTGCTGTGGCGACTTGCCTTCTCTTTTCGCGAACTCCTAAGATGTATCCCATCGTGCCATTGGAGCAATGAGTGGAGTTTCTTCATCTTCGGCTTCCTCCGGGACGATAATGCGTTTTACCCTCCGGACTCATTCCCCTTTCCCTTCCCCAAAAGGGTCCTCCCTCCCTCCTTCCCCACCCCCTCCCTGTCTCCCTTATCTAAAACTCAACATTGAGTTTCGTCCCCTCCGGAGCGTTAAACTTGGAGATGCTTTGTAACCCCTGATGAGCCAATCGTTTGGTAGGGATTGGTGAAAAGGCCTTTGGGAACTCCTGCCTAGTCTCTTTTGTTGCGCCGACACATTTAAGGGCCGCTTGGCCGGATTGGGATTCACACGCTGCCCTGAAAAAATTATGAAAAAATTGTGAATGGATTGTTTGATACTACTTAACCCTCCCCATTGTTGTGATGAATTGTTGCTTTTATGAGTCGTCTGCTCCCTGTTCTTTTTGATAGGAGTTGCTTGTTGCTTCCGTGATTGCGCCGCATTGATATGGAGGCCGCAATTTTTGTCTTGGGAATCGTTGTCATCTGTTCCGTCTTGTTCGCCTACCTAGCTTTCATCGCATATTTGGAGAGTGAATGTATCAAGGCGCTTCACGCGCTGCTGTCGGAACACTCGAATCGATCGTTAGGAGCTGCTGCTAGATCAAGGTGTCCTATCGCGAGAACATGACAATGATTTGGCGGCCTCGTCGACCAGTTGCATTCATTGCCATAACTTCCCATAGGTGCTATGCTCCTTGCTTCTATCGTAGTAATCATGCTAGCCTAATTATTGATTGATGATGAAGGGGAAGTGAGCACGACTGATGCTTCTCGACGGGTTTATAGCGACCATCCCAAGTTCTTTCTTACTCTTGCGATCCTGCATCTCTCGTTCTTATCTACGATTGTATTTTTCTTCTTCATGAGGGACATGCGTTATTTTTGCTGCTTCTGCCATGGGTGCTTCGCATATTTGATTCGTGATCCTTAGAACTCTGTTTTTTCTTCATTCCCTCTTCCTGCCTCTTGGTCTGACATAGAATGCTTCCTGGATATGTTATCAGGTCATCGCGCAGCTTCGTCGGACCTGATATGTAGACCTGTCAAAGTTGGTGTATTCTTCCTCTATTAGGAAGAAACTCGGGGAGTAGGGTTGCTGCTTAAGTAAATTAGGATTGGATATTCTTGCTCTCTCTCTCTCTCTCTCTCTCTCTCTCTCTCTCTCCCCCCCACATCCCCCCTCTCTCTCTCCCTCTCTCTCTCTCTCTCCCCTTTTTTTTTCTCCTCTCTCTCTCTCTCTCTCTCTCTCTCTCTCTCTCTCTCTCCCCCCCACCCCGCTCTCTCTTTCTGTCTGTTTATCTTTCCTACTCTTCATCTCATTCTTTGATTCTCTATCATGTTGTGATTGAGTCGTCTCCGGGTGTCTCATTCTATGATGCTGTCCTCCGTGGTGGTGTTTGGGAACCGCCTTTTCCAAGGTAGATTGTCCTCTCGGCTGCTGATAGTGCCATTAGCAGGTGAATTTGGTGGAGCGGAGGGGTCACCCTGGGTTGCGTAGCTGCCTTTCTTAGAATGGAGCGAGTTCGAGAATGGTTTTTGTTGATGTAGAACGGTGTCGCAACTATTGTTGACTCTCTGCCTTTATGATATCTTGGATCTGATGGCGAGGGAGTTTGACTATTACCTCATCACAACATCTTTTTTGCAATTATTTTTGAAATATTTTTTTTGATGGTTGCATTGTTGATTCGTGATTCTTACAATTGCAGTTTCACCTCGTACATTTATCAGCCGACTTACCTTATATTTCCCAGTTGGTGACTATCTATTCGACTTCCCCTATCTTCGTTTTTTTTCTTTTTCCTCTCTCTCTTCCCCATTTTTCGCCTCGGAAACTGTGCTTTTGAGCCATGTAGGCATCTCTCAGTTTTAATCCCAACAAAAAAGTTTGGTGATCACTTTCCTTGTGACCTTTCCTGACTTTTGCAATTGCATAATCAATGAGCAACTTGTTTTTAATCGGCTTCTTATATTCTCGAATAAAGCATTTAAAATTTCGAAGTGTACGCTAAGCTGCTTCGCTGTATATAATCGCCATGCCGTGTGTCGCAGCTCGCCGCACCTTTTTTGGTGTGGGGGTTTAGTATCAATAGATTCAATACTACACACTCATTGGACACTTGCGTCCGCCCGTTTGCCGATCGGGTGGTGAACTCCACCTGGTCGAGATGTGTACGGTGGCTTGGGGAATTATACTTCTGCGCAGTTTTGGTGTCAAATAGAGAAATGAATGCTGTAGAGGATTTTCTTCAATTTAAAAACTTCTTTGGTGTTTTGATTTCTCACTCTTTGATGTGGTTGGTCATGTGGCAGAGGCCTATTTTCTCACCAAATGGTTGGTATCTTGAGCTCGTTCAAGGGGAGCAGACATGGATGGGACAATTTAATCCTCCGTCACGCCTAGCTCAAACTCTGATTTCGCTAGGGTGTTGGAGTTTGTTAATATGGACTCTCTTCATGTTCCCCACCCCTATCCCCCTCTCATCTTTGTCTTATCTTTCAATGATTGGGCACACATCGTATGGGCCTCCACGTATGATAAGGAGTTATTGCCGCAGATGACTAAGGCGTATGTGTTAGCAGCTTTTGACATGAAGGAGGATGACTGGTTACTTGACGCTTCGATTAGGGACGAGATCATGATGAAGGAGAAAGTCTTCATTGATCTGTGGAATACTACCTCCGAATTTCATTTTGATCTTGTCCATCCTGCCGCATTAGATCCTGGTGCGTCTGAACCGGAATCTGATGATGATCTTCTCCTCACGGAAGAGGAGAGAGCCTTCCATGAGAAATTTTTGGCTGATTCTAGCGCCCAGTTGGCTGTTGGCTTGGCAAAGGAGAAGACCAAGGACGTCAACAAGTTTCTCAGGAATGCTTTCCTTCCTATTGCACCGCATAGATGGATAGAATCGGAGGCTAAGGCACTCAAAGACAAGATCTGGGACTTTGATACTTTCAATCATTTAGCTCCGATTATCGTTAATGCTTACAGATTCCTGACTTCTCTCACCCTGGAAGAACTGGAAACCGGCCATGGGAGGGCTCTGGATGAGAATTCTGAGTTGATTTAGGGCCCATACCCTCGAACTGCGGAGACAATGAAAATCCCTGTTGTCGGATTGTTTGATCCGTTGAAGAGTGCAATCTTCTCACTTCTTTAGCGATTAGGGGGTTTTATGCAGCAAAAGGTCAGCCTGCCCTAGTTGAGTTGAAAACGATCTGGAACGTGGGCAAGCCTTACCTAAAGTGTCATTGTCTCGAGTCAGGGTTAGCAGATTGCAAGTCCAATATTACCTGGTTTGATCACGTGTTGTGGTACATGCTTGCTAATCCTGATTTTCTCTTCCCAGTGGCCCCAACCCTCCGAGCAAGGATGAGGGCAATGAGGAGCCTCCTGAAGAGGACGTGGAGAGCTCCTGTCTTGGCCAGTGTGGTTTTCTCGGACATGCGGGATATCACGATCAAAATGACGCATTTAGTGGTGGAGAATGCTGACGGAAGGCAGGAAAGAATCCTTGGCGATGAGGTCTTGATGATGAGAAAGTTTCCCAGGAGGATGGCTTCCCTGATTCTCCCGGACAGGTACCTCAAGAGTCCATCAAAGCGCAAGCTGCAGGAGAACCGCAGGGATCCGCAACCCAAGAGGAAGGCTAATACGCAGTTGTCGTATTATATTAGGCCGCAGGTTGAGTCGGAAGACGAACGGCAGACAGGCGGATTGCGCCAGCTCACCGCCTCCTCTACCCCTCCGAGCTCCGCTCTTTCTTTTCAATCGGACGCCGTGAATTCTACCTCTAGCAAGCAGCTGCCGGGGGGCGGTCGGACTGGCGCAGCGGCCAGGAACTTGTTTCTCCCTTATAACTGGCGTTTTTTTTGTTCTCTGTGTCATAGGTCTGAAGATGTACAACTAATGATTGTCTAGTTTTCCCCTCTTATGTCCCCTTCGCCTCTAATTTGGAGTTTTGTAAATACAGGGGGAGTCCAAGGACGCTGGTAACGTTGTTCGTGGAGAAGATGGCACAAATAAGTGGCTGCCTGCTCCTAAGCAGAGAGCTGAGCTGTATGTCCACACTAAGTACGAGAGCAGGGCTATGGAGGCTGTTGGTTTCAAATCCATTGTGGAGAGAGCATTTGAGGAATTATTCTCTCCTGCCGAAGTTATCCTCTTGACAGTTGTGGTTATTGGTTGGACCTATTATGAATCATTGGATTCGTTTATTTACAGACTTTCTTTTGTGTTCAAGGATTTTATTCTGAATGATTGGTTGAATTTTTGCAGTCGCACCGCTTGTTGCCCATGTAACTTGGCCAAATTTCAGCGGTTTCACTCTCCTGAGACAAAGGATATATCGCAACCCTTTGTTGAACCTTCATCGCATGTCCTCACCCTTGATCCTTCGGTAGCACAACATAAACATGTTTCTCACCTGCTGTCCCAGGGTTTGAACCATAACCCCCCTCGCCCTCCCTTGATCCCTCGTGTCGTCAAGTCCTTCCTCAATTCCTGGGAGTTGATTCTTGCGCATGTGGGAAGCAGAACATTCATCCCTTCTGCTGCTGAAAAACTAGCCACGACATTTGTCAAAAGTAATGTCAAAAGGAAAATTATCTCCCTTGGCCTCAGAAAGCATTTTGACCCCCCCTATCTACTCGATTCCCACCCGGTCAGATTGGAAATTAACTTCCTCACGAAGAATTTGTTTATCTCAAGAACGGATAAAGCGGCTAACTCCCCTTCCTTTGCCTGTATTCACCTTGTGAAAAAACTAGCTCTAGAACGTCTCTCTGGAAGTGATTTTGTGAAAACCAACTTTACCATGGATGAAATCCTGGATGAAGCTCTGGAATGGCTTTCGCAGATTTTTCCCTCCATTCGCCTTGGCTCGAAGAAGCTCCCTTACATGATGGTTTTACATAAGCATCACCATAAGACTTTCAAGTGACTTACCAACGCTGCAAACACCTTTCTCACGCGTGTGGCTTCCCTCTGTGATGACATTATTAAAGTCCTTATTCCTTTGGTGAAATCCTCCTGTAAAGATATAACCGACAATTTGCGCTCATTCCATGGGATTGATACTACGGTCTGGTGGACTATTGACTCTATTCAGGATTACAGTTACAACCTCATGAGTAAGGTCTTCTCTGTCTTCTCTGGTGACATCATGCATTGTTTTGAAACCATACCCATTTCGCATGATGAGGATGGTCTCCCTGTTGCGTTCCGGTTCTTCATCGACCTTGCTTGGAAAAAAACGCAGCAGGAAAATCTCGGAACTTCCATCAAATGCAGAATTAAGAGTGATGGTCACGTCATTTGTTCGCTAGCTGCCAGATCGGTCCAGAAGGGCAATTCCATTTTCTTTTTATCCAAGGAGAATGTCTGTCAGTTGATTGATTGGGTACTATCTAGATGTTACACCTCCCTTGGTGGTGTCGTTTGGAGGCAGATCAAGGGTATACCTATGGATCTCCCCTGCTTCCCTTCTCTCTGTAATCTCTATTTTTTCAGATATGAATACCAGCTCATCATGCGTATTATTCGCAACCGAGCCTATGGTGTGCTTCCCCTGTTCAAATATACCTATAGGTATATTGATAACTTGCATACCCTCAATAACCCTTCCATTCTTAAGTTTTTTTATGCTGACCAGGCCTGGGATGAGTCGAACATTTTTCATCTATACCCTATGCACTTGATCGAGTTGAGTAACCAGACTGAACTTTTCCTCATGCAGGAATCAGGGGAAATTTATGGCCTTAAGGCCCAATTTCTCAACTCTGAAATCACTGTGACCTCTGAGACTACTGGACAGTTTATGATAGCGAAATTTGACAAGTGCAGGACGCTTGACCTTCCTGTGTGCAAATATGTCAAGTATGGTTCTAACAGGCATGTTCAACAATCGATCAATATTATAATTGGACAAATTGCGGTTATCTTGCTTATTTGTTCAGAACCCGAAACTGCTGCAAGGGAAATCGTAAAGGTGATCGATGTTATGGTCGCCAATGAGTTTCTGTTTAGGAAGTGTCTTTCGTGTGTGCACAAGGTTCTTGACTCTCGTGAGCTGTATATGCCCCCCAGAGTTGATGTGAACGCAACCAAAGGCAAGTTGAAGGTATGTGTTTTCATAAATATATATACATATATATATGCAAAGAAAATTTTCCCTCCATATTCCCCCCTTCTCCTTTTCTTTCCCTCGCTTTCTCTCAATAATGTATGTATGTGATCTTTGTCTGTGTTCTTTACATATCAGTCCCGATCGGTAAGGCTGTTATGGCAGTTGGCAGGTACCTAGCCGCATTCGGCAGGTACCTACTACCTGCCCTTGCAGCCTAGGTCTTGCCAGCGGGAAAGGGGTGAGGCACACACACACACACACACACACAGATATATACATTTATCGAGAAGAGAAAAATTATTTATATACTTATACGGTGAAGAAAAATTAAATTGATTTATTTATTCCTAATCTAAAAGATTGTTGGGCCCGTTATTAAAATTGGAGGCCTCTATAGAGTTTAACCTCTGTATGGCTACTACCCGAAGGGTTTGTTTGACCTTGGCTTCCCCCCAACCCCTTTTGTCTCGTCCCCATGGGCTATTCGTCTCCATTCATCTCAAGGTTCTCTGGACAACAGTTTTGGTTATGGGGCGAAGGTCGAAGATCTCTTCTTTAAAAAAAGAAAGCGAAGTTGTTATTTGGGTCCGCCACTAAAATAAGAGGCCTCCATTCAGATTTACCTCTATATGGCTACAACCCCAAGGATCTCTTTTGACCTTGGTTCTCCCCCATGCCCTCTGATGGTTCCTTATGGGCCGGTCATTCCTATTTATCTGAGAAGACTCAGTTCTGGAGTGTCGGTTATGGGTAAGATTTCGACGATGCCTCTTTTTGAAAAAAAAAACTAGATCGTCCTTTGGGCCCGCCCTCACAAAAATAGGACACTCCAATATGGGATTGTTCCCTGCCCATCTGTACTTTGGTCTGCTACCTGCTTTGCATTAATGAATCAGTCCTCCTTGGGCGGTCCGATTAGGCTAGTTTTGGAATGTTTATCTTCGCCACCCTTTTTGCCACCCACGCACTATTTAACTATTGAAGATCGAATCGTCAAACCTTTTTCGGATCGACGCACTTCCCTAGGTTGTGCGGCCTGATCGTCATTTTCCGATAACGTGAGTAACGACGCATATTGTCGCCCTCTTCAATTGAAAGAGTCTCCTTGCTCTTTTGGTATTCTCTCGGCCACTTTCACTCTCTCTCTCTCTCTCTCTCTCTCTCTCTCTCTCTTTTTTTTTTTTTTTTTTTTTTTTTTTTCTCTCTCTCTCTCTCTTTTCTTGGTGTGGCGACTCGCCTTCTCTTTTCGCGAACTCCTGAGTTGTATCCCATCGTGCCATTGGAGCAATGAGTGAAGTTTCTTCATCTTCGGCTTTCCGCGGGACGGTAATGCGTTTTACCCTCCGGACTCATCCCCCTTCCYCTTCCCCAAAAGGGTCCTCCCTCCCCCCTCCCCCACCCCCTCCCCCTCTCCCTTTTGTAAAACTCAACAATGAGCTTCATTCCCTCCAGAGCGTTAAACTTGGAGATGCTTGGTAACCCCTGATTAGCCAATCGTTTGGTAGAGGTTGGCGAAAAGGTCTTTAGGAACTCCTGCCTAGTCTCTTTTGTTGCGCCGGCACATTTAAGGACCGCTTGGCCGGATTGGGACTCACACTCTCTCCTGAAAAAATTGTAAAAAAATTGTGAATGGATTGTTTGATACGACTTAACCTTCCCCATTGCTGTGATGAATTGTTGCTTTTATGTGTTGTTTGCTCCCTGTTCTTTTTGATTGGAGTTGCTTGCTGCTTCCGTGATTGCGTTGCATTGATATGGAAGCCGCAATTTTTTTCTTAGGAATTGTTGTCATTTGTTCCGTCTTGTTCGCCTACCTGGCTTTCATCGCATTTTTGGAGAGTGAATGTGTCAAGGCGCTTCACGCTCTGCTGTTGGAACACTCGAATCGATCGTTAGGAGTTGCTGTTAGATCAAGGTATCCTATCGCGTGAACATGGCAATGATTCGGCGACCACGTCGACTAGTTGCATTCATTGCCATAAGTGCTAT